GCTTCTGAAAGAAGCACTATACACAGAAAGGAACAACCAGTATCAGTCATCCCAAAAACTTACCAAAAGGTAAAGAGTTATCTCCATAACGAAGAATCTATATCAACTAATGGGCAAAATAGCCATCTAGCATTAAACGACAACATTAAACTCACAAATATCAGTATTAATCCTAAATTTAAATGGATTAAATGCCCCAATCAAAGACAGGCAAACTGAATAAAAAGTCAAAACCCATCGGTTCGCTGTATCCAGATCCATCTCCTAAGCAAGGACACACAAAGACTCAAAACAAAGGCTTGGTGGAAGACTTACCAATCAAATGCAGAGCAAAAAAAGAAAACAGGAGTTGTAACTTTCGTCTCTGACAAAACAGACTTTAATAGTAACAAGGACTAAAAGAAACAAAGAAGGACATTACATAACGGTAAAAGGATCAATGCAACAACAGGAGTCAATGATCATAAATATATATGCACCCAATATAGGAACACCCAGATACATAAGACAAGTTCTTAATGACTTATAAAGAGACTTGGACTCCCGCACAATAATAGCGGGAGACTTTGACACCACATTGTTAATATTCAACGGATCAAGGAGATAGAAAATTAACAGGGACATCTATGATTTGAACTCAGACCTGGAACAAGTAAACTCAGTGAATATTTATAGAATTCTCCACCCCAGGTCCACAGTACATTTTTCTCAGTACCATATTACACCTATTTTGAAAGTAACCACATAATTGGAAGTAAATCACTCTTCAGCATTTGCATAGCATTTCACAGACTAAAATGAAATATTAGTTGGCTGTTTATTTTCTTCCCTTATTCCTTCCTGTCTCCACTGTTAAGCACAATTATCGGTATAAAAGAGGTTTTAAATACCTATTTTTAGATTGCATTCCAGCCTGGGCAATAAAGCAAGACTCCTGTTCTCTCTCCCCCTTTCTCTTTCTTAAAAAAAAAAAAAAAAAAAAAAAAAAAAAAAAAAAAAAAAGAAAATCTCCCTCTCTTTTTCTTAAAAAAAAAAAAACAAAAAAAAAACCACTGCCTTACCCAAGGTCACAAAGATTTACACCAATGTTTTCTTCTAAGAGATTTTTGTAGCTTTAGCTCATGTCTTGGCTCCATTCTGTTTTATTTTTTGAATAAGAATATGCATTTTATCAAGGTCCCAGGTGATTTGTATGCACAATTGGAGCTGAAAAACACTGCCTTGAGGGAAGAGACCCGTTGGTCCTGTCTCTTGTCTCAGAGGAGGAAGTAAAAGTTGAAAGTAGCAGGTATGAGGTCAGTGAAAGGTCTGCTGGCACTGCTGATCAGGCCTAGAGGTTAAAGATGAAACCCCCCACCCTTAATCCCACTCCTATCTATAGATCGCAAGAAAAATATGGAGAAATGCCCTCCATTGTGCTCACTCAATCTTGCTCAAACCCCCACCTGGTCATATGCTCCACGCCTACTTCATTGATCATGCCCCTCTCACGTGTACTTTCTAGAATTGTAAGCCTTTAAAAGGGCTAGGATTTTGTCAGGGAGCTCGGTTCTTGAGACTCAAGATGGAGTCTTGAGTCCATCTTTGAGATGCTCTCAGGCAAATAAAGCCACTTCCTTCTTTAAATCTGGTGTCCAGGAGGTTTCCTTTGTGGCTTGTCCTGCTACACCTAAGTCATATCCTGGCAGCACATTACAATCACTTCAAGAGCTTTGCTGATGAACATTTTCTGTAGTCCTCAACTAATTCTTAGATTTAATGAGGATGTCCACAGAGCTATCACTTGCCTCACTGTCTAATCATTGTTTTACATCTTTATTTTTAACTTCATACATTCTTTCCATATGGATTTCACCCACATGCTTTTGTTAGGCTGGTTTGTACCCACTGCTTATATGTGATGCTGACACTTCCAACAGTGCTACATTAAGATTGAGATCAGCGTTCACAGTGCACATAGTACATGAGTATAAAGTAGGCTTAGTGTCTGTGGATGTGACACAAATCACACCTTCATTAAGACTAGAGGATGGAAGTCATACTGGGTGGTAGTGTATGAAGGTGGAGAAGTGATAGGAATGAGAAGAGGAAACATAAAACTTCAATACCAAGATCTCAGTTGGTCAAGAGCATGGTCTAAAATCTGCAACATTTCAACATCTAGTTATCATGTTCTCTCTCTTCAAGGCATTATTTGTCCTTGGTTTTTGCTTTTATTATTTTCTTAAAGGAAGAGGGGTGGGAATGGGTAAAACATTCTGGTCTTCTGTTTGCAAATCTAGAACCACAAAACCAATTACAAATTGGGACTCTTGCCATAAACAAAAATATAACTCCAATTTATCAGTGACCCAAATAGAAGAACTAAAACCAAAAACTCTTAGAAGAAAATATAGGGGGAAATGTTCATGACCTTAGATTTAGCAATGTATTTTTTGTTTTTTTTTTTTGGGGGGGGGTGGGGGGAGGCAGAGTTTCACTCTTGATACCCAGGCTGGAGTACAATGTTGTGATCTTGGCTCACTGCAACCTCCGCCTCCCAGGTTCAAGCGATTCTTCTGCCTCAGCCTCCCGAGTAGCTGGGATTACAGGCACATACCACCATGCCCAGCTAATTTTGTATTTTTAGTAGAAACGTGGTTTCACCATGTTGGCCAGTCTGATCTCAAACCCCTGACCTCAAGTGATCCACCTGCCTTGGCCTCCCAAAATGCTGGGAGTACAGGTATGAGCCACCGTGCCCAGCCTAGCAATGTATTCTTAGCTGCAACACCAAAAGCACAAGCAGCAAAAGAAAAACAGAAAAAGACATTTCTCCAAAGGTTTACAAATGGCCAATAACATATGAAGAGATACTCATCATCATTAAGTCATTATGGGAATGCAAATCAAAACCACAATGAGGCCTGGTACGGGGCTCACACTTATAATCCCAGCACTTTGGGAGGCCAAGACAGCCTCCCCTTGATCACCTGAGGTCAGGAGTTCAAGACCAGCCTGACCAACATGGTGAAACCAAGTCTCTACTAAAAATACAAAAATTAGCTGGGTGTGGTGGCACATGCGTGTAGTCCCAACTACTCAGGAGGCTGAGGTAGGAGAATCACTTGAACCTGGAAGGCAGAGGTTGCAGTGAGCCGAGATCACACCACTGTACTCCAGCATGGGCAACAGACAAGACTCCTCTCAACAAAAATAGAAGAAAACAAACCCACAGTGAGTTCCCACTTCACACCTACCATGATGGGAGTAATTAAAAAAAAAAAAAAAAAAAAAAAAAAACCTTAAAAAGAGGGACGGGAGGTAGAGGAGGAATTAAGTGTTGACAAGGATGTGGAGAAACTGGAACCCATACACCACCAGTGGGAATGTAAAATGGTGCAGCCACTATGGAAAATAGTTCCGCAGTTCCTCAAAAAGTTAACAATGGAATCACCATTATAACCCAGCAATTCCACTCCTACATTTATCCCCAAAAGAACTTGTGAATGGAAAATACATCTTAGGGCCCCCAAATTACTAAGCTAAAGAGAAAAGTCAAACAGGGGAGCTGCTTAGGACAAACCTGCCTCCCATTCTATTCAAAGTCAACCCTCTGGGTCACTGACATACATGCATATCTGACTGCCTTTGGAAAGGCTAATCAGACACTCAAAAGAATGCAACCATTTGTCTCTCACCTCCTTGGGACCTGGAAGCCCCTTCCCTGCTTGAGTTGTCCCACCTTTCTGGACGGAACCAATATACATCTTACATGTAATGATTGATGTCTCGTGTCTCCCTAAAATGGATAAAACTAAGGTGTGCCCCAACCACCTTGGGCACATGTTGTCAGGACCTCCTGAGGTTGTGTCACAGGCATGCGTCCTCAACCTTGGCAAAATAAGCTCTCAATTGAGACCTGTCTCAGATTTTTGGGGATCACAAACTGAAAACAGAAACGCAAATTTGTAGGCCAAAATTCATTGCAACATTGTTCACAACAGACAAATGATAAAAAGTGTACATCAACAGATGAATAAAATGTGGCATTAACATACAGTGGATTATTCACCCATAAAAAGGAATGAGATTACATGGTACAAAATGGATGCACCTTGAAAACATAGGTCAAAGAAGCCAGACACAAAAAGCCACATATGGAATGATTCTAGTTATAGGAAATATCCACTGAATTGTACCCTTTAAAATGGTTACAATGGTAAATTTCATGGTAGGTGTACTTCACCACAGTTAAAAAATAAAAAATAAAAAACACCCACAGGGTCAAGCCTATCTCACTAACCTTGTGGCAGGAGGTAGACTAGCATGCCTGCTTCCCTTTGGACAGTTTCCCCAAAGGGCTCATAGTTACGCTTAGTTCCTTCTATGCTTTTCAACAAGCAGCCATGTCACTTCTTCCCTTAAAAAGGGAAGAAGAGTGGAGAAGAAATGTGTACTTCTCCAACATTTTCCTCCTTCTGGATTGTAGTGTGTGATAGATTAAGATGGTCACAAACTATCTGACATTCTTCCCAAAAAGCAGTGGGTTCTTTGACCCCTCCTCTTAAATTTGGGCAAGCTAAGATTGCTTGGCCAATAGAATACTGGAGATGTGACATTGGGCCAGTTTGGGGCCCAGAACTTTATAACAAAAAAAAAAAAAACAGCACTTTTCATTTTGCTTAAAATACTTTTGAAACCCACCAGCCATGTTGGTAAGGAAGCACAGCAGCCCTGTGAGAAGGCCCATGTGGAGAGGAACTGAGACCCTGAGTGCACTCCCAGATAAAAGCATGCATTAATTTAACACCCATGTGCGTAACAAGCCCTCTTGAAAGTAAATTCTCCAGACCTAGTCAAGTTGGTCCAGCTGTATTCACCAAACCCTGCTAAAATTGTTCACTCATGAACAAAATGAATGATTTTGCTCTAAGCTACCAAGCTATGGTGAAGTTTGTCATAAAGCAGTAAAGAACCACAACACAGCCCTCCTCTGTCGTCTCTGCACTGGGAGCAGCTTTCCTGCCAGAGCCCCTCACCCCCCTGAAAATGTTTGCCTGCTCCAAGTTTGTCTCCACTTCCTCCTTGGTCAAGAGCACCTCACAGCTGCTGAGCCGTCCACTATCTGCAGTTTTGCTGAAACGACTGGAGACACTGACAGATGAGAGCCCCAGCAGCTTGGCAGTCTCACGTCCCCTTACCTCATTTGTCTCTAGCTGCAGCTTCCAAACCAGCGCCATTTCAAGGGACATCGACACAGCCGCCAAGTTCATTGGGGCTGGGGCTGCCACAGTTGGGGTGGCCAGCTCTGGGGCTGGGATTGGGACTGTGTTTGGGAGCCTCATCATTGGTTAAGCCAGGAACCCTTCTCTGATGCAACAGCTCTTCTCCTACGCCATTCTGGGCTTTGCCCTCTCGGAGGCCATGGGGCTCTTTTGCCTGATGGTGGCCTTTCTCATCCTCTTCGCCATGTGAAGAAGCCGTCTCCATATCCCATAGTTCTTTCTCCCACGTATGGTCAGCCCTGTGTGTTCCTTTTCCTATACCTCCCCAGGTATCCTGGGGAACGTGGTTGGCTCAGGGTTTGACAGAGAAAAGACAAATAAATACTGTATTAATAAGAAAAAAAAAAAAAAAAAAAAGAACCACAACACCATGGAAATTCCATCCCCTCTCTGTTAAATAATAGAAAATGTGTCTGAAATACCCTTTTTAAAAAATCTGGCTTGAATACCCAAGTGACTACTATATATCCCATTAAAAAATTAGGCTCCTACACTCAGCATGACCTTTGAGGGAAACTACTGAGTTCCTACCTATTTCTAGCCTTGTTCTAAGTACAAAGTGGTAAGCAAGACAGTCGATTAGGAAGTCAGAAATACTTATATTATCAGGCATAGGCTGGAATACCAAACTGAGGTGTGCTTTACCACTGAGCTTAGAGGAAACCTCAATTTTGTTCTATGAGATCTTTTCCAAGCAAAAATGCTGGGAGGGGTGCTTTTCCTGTACTTCAGAAAGGGCTGACCATGAAGTGGGATTCAGATGTGCTGGACAGGTGCCACATCTACTAGCAAGAAAAGGCAGACCCAGCTGAGGCAAGTGATGGCTGGAAAGACAAACCCTCTCCCTCACACCTCAACCCATGTAACAAAGGTGCTGACTTTATTTTTTTAAACCTCTTCTGGAAATCAAAAGCTAGCAGTAACTCTTTTCTCTCTGTACATTTCTCTCTGTAAATTTTGGTAGAAAACAATTACCTGGGCAAGCCCCCTCCCCTATGCCCCACACACTAGTCATTACAATTAAAATAAAAACATGTGGTAGTTCCCATTAAAAAAAAAAAAAGGCAAACTTCTACACCACCACCACCACCACAGCACCCTCCCCACACTACTGCCCCGTTTGTCTCTCTTTACTTCCAAACTGTGCCCCCTGCCAGCCTACTCTAACCACAATTTTCCCCCTACATTCTAAACTACTAATCATAGTCACGAGGGTCCTTCCTTTACTAAATTTAAAGGGTTAACAATCCATGATGAGAGCTTGAGGCAGCAATATATTGAGCCTCACCCACTTTCAGGACCTCTCTTTTTTTTTTTTTTTTTTTTTTTTTTTAAATTTAAAGATGGGGTTTCACCACATCGGTCAGGCTGGTCTCCTGACCTCAGGTGATCCGCCCACCTCAGCCTCCCAAAGTGCTGGGATTACAGGCGTGAGCCACCGCACCCGGCCAGGACCTCTCTTAGCTCTCACCTTATGACTTATCTATCTGTTCCTTTCCTTTGCAGCTCCTCCACTTGCCCCAACACCTTCACTTAAATGTTCCATATCAAGTAAATTCAACTTAACGTGTCAGCACCAAAATCCTGATACTCTTTTTCTCATGTTCTTTCTACCTTGTTTGCCTTGCTCTAAACTTCACACTTCTAATATATATATAGGCTCTACCTTCAAAACATACCTCAAATCCAACTTCTTACTACCTCCAATGCTACCAGCCCAGTCCAAGTCCTTAAGATCTCTCACTAGGTTATAACCTCCTAAACGCCTTCCTTCTTTCACCGTGGTTCCTCTAGTGCAGTGGTTCTCACCTAGGAACTTGTTAGAAGTGCAAATTCTTCCCCAACCCCAGAACTATTCCTCAAAGTTGGGATGGCTCATAAAACTTATGTATTACCAAGTCCTCCTTGTCAAACACCTGAACCACGCCACCCCTCTTACTTCCTACCCTGCTTTTCCCTGCTAGTTCATCTTGCCCAAGCCACACTGGATTTCTTGTGTTCTACAAACATACTGAGAAAGAAACAAGTTTTTACCTGAGAAATGCAAACCCCTTTAAATTATCAGGCTCAGAGAGGCATTCCCTTGAGCTAAATAATTACCTCTTGAAGCAACTTACTATGTGGGCTCTGGACTGTCAAGTAGCTATAAAATGTCATACAACAGACACCATAACTCATACCCTATGTTCAACAGCGTACAGCCAATGGCTAATTAATGTTATTTCTGTAACCAATGAGAATACCTGTCAAAACTTTGTATCAGCCCACTCCTTGTTCCCCTTTGCCTTTAAAATCTGCTTATACCAAACAGAGCATTCCCCAAGGCCACTTAAAGTGAGTCCCAGGCAGCTGTTCTCACTTTGGCTCAAGTAAACTGTTTTAAAATTGTATTTTGTGCCTCAGCTTCTTCCCTTTAGGTTGACATTTATTCAGAATACTATTTCAGGGCCTTTTCATTCGTTGTCCTTCTTCCTGGAAAAGTTGTTCGCCCCTCCAGATACACAAGTATCTATTCAAATGTCACTTCCTCAATGAGCTGAGGCTTTCTCTGACTACCTTATATAAAATAAGAACACCACCCTCCTGACCTAGTCTCCTTACTATGCAGAATTTTTCACTAAAGCACTGATTACCTGGCAGGCAATCTGTATGTTTTATTTGCTGTCTCCCTACATTCTACTATGTAAGCCCCATGTGGACAGAATCTTGTTTTATTTGCTGCTATACTCTGAGCAATTAGAAAAGAACCTGGCACTCAGTAAATAAATGTTCAATAATTTGACTTTCCAATAGTTGCCTATGGAAAAAGATACAAGAAACAACTGATGTTACTTAGGTTAACTGCCAAGACACTTTTAAAGCAGAAAAATAAAACAAAAAACAATTGCTACAAGGTGAATGAAAGGCGCAAAATGCAGCAATTGACAGTAAAGGCTAAGGCATGAACAGTTAACAGTTAACCAAACACTGGATCAGCAAAGTTTAGGACGCCTTCAGAACTGAGCCCGGCAAGAATGGCAGACTTTCTATGAGCCAAAGTAGATAAACACCATGTGAAACACCAGAGAAGGGTACATATATTAAGTACAGCTTTTCCCAAAGTGTGTTCATTGCATACAGCATCACCTTAAAGAATAGTCAAGTAAAAGAGATGGTCTAGTGAGACTGGAAAAAGCTGAATAAAACTTTAAATAGACTTCTTTAATGTAAGACTTCCTGTTGACTATGTTTAGTATCAATCTCTTAAGAGAAGTATAATATGCGTATTTCCCTGTATGAATCACATCTTTTTGTTATACATGTGTATGTCATTGCACACACAGCTTAGTTTCACTTTTGTCACCAGCATACTGTTATCCACTGTTATATTTTGTTGTGATATGCCTATTAACATATTAAAAGACTCTTTTCATTATATTTAAACCAACTCTAAAACTCAAGATTCTAAACACACATAGAGACCATGTATCATTTACCTGATTTTTCAATATTTGCTACACTTTGTTTAGGATACCACAAATTTTATAATTGGTAAATAAAATCCCAAAATGATATTTTCACTACTCCATTCTTTAATTTGTACTAAATACTATCATTCAATGAGAACAATTTAAGCCCACAGTATTTTAAACATTCTTTTAGTGCTGATAAGAATTTTAAGTATTTTGAACCCCTTAAGATGTAGACAGTTATCTTTAGACTTAGACCTAAAGATAAATATATTAAAAACAAAAACCATACCACTGCAGCAGCTTAAAGGTAATTTAGAGCTTATCAGCCAGTCCAACACACCCTGTAAGCCTCACCACATGTATAATAAAGAAATCATGATGCATAACTCAATGTCAAATAACTAGTCAAGTACCAAGATCAAAAGTAGAGCTCAAGTCACCTACCTTCCCAGTGTGCTCTTTTTATCACACCACAAAAGGCCATGTGTGACATTTAATTGGAAAACTTGAAAAATAAAGAATGTAAAATATGATAAAATCTGGAGTAAATCAACTCCAATAGCCTTTAAAACACATGGTTAGCAAAAGTTAAAGACATTTTTTTTCTTTCTACAAAAGAGGCAAGACAAATCAAGTGTAAAAGCTAGAGATTTATTGTTATTTTGTGATTAATAAATTGTCAAATTAGTTATGACACTATCCCACACTGAATACCACCATTCACCAGTACAAAAGTTTTAAAATCAGACTGAGGCATAAAGCAGAAAGAGCAAATACACACAAATACCCTTCTTACCAATCTCCTCTACTCATGCCTCCACCGTAACCTTTGTACATGTTTTCCTCCTGGGGAAAGTGTCAGAACAGTGCATGGACTGATGGGTAACCTGGCCTTTTAACCATTTTTTAATTGCAAGCAACTGACAGAAGTAATGGAATCGACTTGTATTTCCCTTGATTTTATTGGTCTGAATTCATTTTAGGTTACTTTAACATTTTAATTTCCTGTAACTGTACATGAGAGAATATAATCACCTAAGAGAATACTGAATCAGAGCCAGCCAAATGTATTACTGACCCTAAATTATGTTTTAATTGGTCCTAAAGGAATGTACCACCCCAATAATTTGGGAGTTAGGCAAACAGAACTTCTTTGGGGAGGGAAGAAAAAGGCTATAAAACAGCCAAATGTACTCAACATCGTTAAAACGGCTCTTTGTTTTTCACCCCTGAATGATACTTCTTTACTACACTATATGCACAGAAATCCTAACAGAATCTTGGCTGCCAGTATTATTTAAGCTGGCCCAATCCAGGATAGATTCCGCTCCCCCCCACCCCATTCCCCTTTCTCTGAGGCTCTGAAAAGCACAATATTTAACTATTTCTTAATAGAACTACCAAAACACTTCAGAAACAATTGGCTCACAACTCATTTTAAATTTGTGTATTGCCTGTGCATGAGAAAACAAATAAACCCAAAAGATAGTTCTATTTTTATATGGTGATTAAAAATAACTGAAACATCAAGACACTTTCAGTGAAAGCAACATTTCAATTACAAATTTTAATGCCTGTTAAACTACCTATGGGAGAAGCTGAAAAGTCCTAGGCAAATTTTGGGGTATACTACAGTGTTCCTTCAGTCTGCACAAAGATTAAGGTAATTTACAGTCAATCTGTGAATGAATGTTGAGACAATGTTACATTATGTTGTCTGTACAATTAAATGTCCTTAAAGAGATAACCAGAATCAACTTTTCTACTATATTTTCAACAAACCTGACTAACCGGCACTTTTGCTGGGAGATGTTTGTCAAAGATGCTGTAAGACTCTATACAATTAGGAAATAACTCAGCTTTAAGAGTATTTTCTTATCTTCACTTTTTTGGTTACAGGTGTTT